TTTTATTTGATAATTGTGTGCTGATGTATCCATTTATCAAGGTTTGGAAACTTATATATTGTAGTTCTTGTCAATCATTTATATATAATTATTCCTATTGTTCATATAAAGTTAATGTCTTAATTCTTTTATAGATTTATTATCGATCTACCAATCGCTTATAATAAATTCCTTACCTTGATGTCGGATGCATCATTATTTCACCAATGATTTATCTATACGATGTTTTTTCGTTTGGTTACTTCTGAAGAAGACTCAATCCACGAGTCGAAACATGTAAAGTTTTATAGATTTAATGATTAAGCCGTTTTAATTTTTTTATTTTTTTTATTTTTGTATTAAGTTTGTCCTTGTTTTTTCATGTTCATGTATATTTTTATATCTTCGTATTTAATCTTGTTTTTCATGTTAATTTATATTAATTTATTTTATCTTTTTACTATGTGATTAAAGAAATTTTTAATGTTTGACTCTTAATTTGTCTTTTTAGTTTCTATTTATACTTAATAAAATATAGTAAAATAAAGATAAATATCTTTCATGGAATATATAAATTGCAAATTTGCTTCGAACAAGAAATTGAAATATAAAAGAGCTTATTTCAAATTTTCTTCAGGCTGTTTGGATCGTTTTGGATCAGTCGTACTAAAAAATAAATATAAATAATTATAAATAAAAATTATTAATATTTTCAATATAATATAGTAATGACCTATAATAAATTGGTATAAATTACCTCTTTTTTTTCTTAGCCTCGTTTCTATGGTGTCTCAAATTAGCTTGAACCAACCATTTTGCAATGTATCCTTGAATTTCAACCTCGGTATTTGATTGACTTAATGTCACAGCTTCTAGATAATTTTAATAGATAATGTACATTTGTTTTAAAAAATTATCTTCTTAACGGACGATATTCACAAACGGCATTTATTAATACGTAAAGGGTTTAGTGATTTGTCAAAAATTAAGCTTACGATATATACGTACGCACAATGCACTTGCATAACAATAAATCTTTAAATGCCTTTTTCTTGAGTTTACCAGCCCAGCTATACTGCTTGGCTAGCTCATCTGCCACAGTTCGTTTTAAAATATTTATGGTTAAATCGTGACTGTCCTTTCCACCAATTTTATTTAAAAAAGTTACCTGTTAAAAAAATATGTATTAAATATATTTTAAATATAATTTATAAATAACACAATTGTAATGATGACTGAATAATAATTTTGATATAATATCTACTAAAAATCGTATGACAATATAATAAGCATGTTCTTATCATACTTTTGAAGAATTCTCTGTTTTCCAAGTCTTTTTCAAATAATTCCAATGTTTCAAACGTTTTTACTGGTAACGATATTATATCTTCAAGTGTTAGTACGTTTGATACATCGCATGGTTTGCTTCTCATTTCCTCCCAGTCGGAAAGTTTATCATCAATGCTTTTCACTTTAAAAAATAATTGATTTAATCTTCTAAGGATTTCTTCGTGAATTTCTGTAAAAAAATATATAATTATTATCACCATTATATTCCTGAAAATTATTGGTAAGAAATATTTGAAATATAATACTAACTGTGGCATGAATCTGATTTGTTGAATGTCACTTCAGTTACTGCAAGTGAGTTGACAGATGAAACTTGCGACGATTTTGGTTTTAAAATTTTGGAGCTGGCGCTACTTGATCCAGGTTGATTTACAAATGAAGATGGTAGTGGCGGTGGTGCAATAGTTACAATGTCAGTCGTTTCTAAATTTTCTTGTTCATCTGATGAAGAAGAATAATTTTCTTTCGTTTTATTTCGTCTTGATCTTTGGTTCTTCTCGACCTCTATGTCCGAGTAATCTATGTCGGAATGTTCTTGAGCGAATTTTACTTTCTCCATCCCAGATTCATAAGAATCTAAAACCAATATAATTTTAAAATCGGTTTTCTTGTGCAAATTGATTCATATTTACTAATACTTTTATTAGTTAATATTCACCATTACGCCAAAACAATGAATATATATGTTACGTCCGGCGCTCTTTTTCGCTTTAATTTTCGCCCCTGAAGTTTCTATCTCTCTCGCACCCATCATTATCGCGCCGTACGTTTCGCCTGCGTACCTGCATTAACTCCTAGTAGCGCCGCACTTACGCGAGGGCACCACCTCCCGGGCGCCTCACGCCGATTAATTAATTACTAAAATTCGCGGTTTAATTAATGCCACGATACGGTTGAGAGCATGACGATGCTGGCTAGCGCATTTTGCGCAAAACTATACCGCACTATTTTGATTAAATTGGCCTTTTCTGCCAAAATCATTAATGCGATACACAGGCGTAACGAGAATGCGAATTTACTGCGCATCGTGCGATACTCGCTGATCCGAGTTGACAGATAGGGCGAAAACCTATTCTGAAAAACTAAAACTTGATACGGCCCTATCATCGCGCCTCCACGCTTACTATCGGGAAAACGACTTGATGCTATTTTTTCCATAAATACGAATTAAAATGGTACCAAATATCAAAGCGATGCGCTCATCGGTTAATGAGATATTAAATAATCGCGAAAGTGATTTATTACCCATTTTTGGAGGAAATTCGGCATTTCCACACACCGCGGCCACCAAGCTGGCCCTATATAATCGAACGAAACCAAGCGCTCCTGTTCATTGTTGTTCCATCTTCGATAGCTCTATAAGGTTTAGTATAGTAAGTCTTTCGTGCGCGAATCTCTCGTAATTTTCCGTCTTATATTATTTTCTCATTATTGTACATAATAGTTCTAACACTCTGTATTATATTAAAGTTCGTTCTATTTCCTCGTGTAATATTAGTACGTGTTAAATCCATTCTAAATTCTAAGTTCTATAGTAAGTAAATTTATCATTCTGAGCAAGGTTTATAATCTTACGCGTTTATTATTGCTCTGTTCGTCGTACCAACTCACTCGCGAGCGTTCGAATTATTACGACTAGATAATTATTAACGTAGATTCTTGCGGTGTGTTCTGTCGTCAGCGGGAATAACACTAATATTCACACTGTAGTTCCGCTTAAAATCTTTATTTTGTTCTTTACACAAATTCACACTATTTACTATCGCGTGGCGACAACGCCTGGGGGCGTAGGACGCCCTGAGTCGTCTGTCGACTACGCCTGGGAACGATCGCACTACGTCCTGAGTCGACAATGTAGAGGAAAGACTGGTCACTATGCGTATGCGCTCTGTACTCGCTCGAGTCGCTCGGAGATCTAACTGCCTCTAACAGGAAAATTCACGAATTCTGAAAACAAAAATATGACGCCACGGATTTATGCCCCTCCACGGACCCGTCGACTATTTCTCATTGGAGGTCGCCGACTTCGCGTTCGGACGACAGCGAATCGGCGACACGGCAGCGCGACAATAAGCGAAAGAGAAAACAAAGGTGCCGAAATTTCCCGAGTTGGAGGCTGTCTTACATTATAGTCTCCCTTTCATAGAGCCAATGATAGATCCCCGACAGCGTGATTGCAAGTGACCGTCCATATGTGAATCCGTTGGAGTTGTAGCGCTTTTGTTTAAACTATATATGTCGTACACGACGTTCTGCGATTTCTACGCAACACAGTGCGAATTAGTCGCTTTTCTTTTTTCTTTTTCCGAATTCGATTGCAATAAACTAAAGGGCAGATCGACGCGACTCTTTCTCTGCCCCTTTCTTTTTGTTGCTTGCAGAAATAAAAGCTATCTTTAAAATGAACAATGATGAACCATCGTTCTAATTATTTCTTTCCTTTTGTGTTGTGATGTCTAAGGGTGCGTGGTGTAAGTGCGATTAAGTGCGTGCGAGTTCACCCCCAGTGAGTAGCATTTCTCCTCAACGATTTGCAAGCAAGGGAACTGTGCGCCTCCCTACGTGGCAGCCTCTTCCTCGCCCCCTTTTTTTTACCGTTGCTACTCACTGGCCGTCGCGATCAGAAACTCGGTCGCTCTATCCGTGCGTTCATTCCCCGGGATCTCGTTCGACAAATAGTGTCGCGATTATCTCACGTAATATTCGTGTACGTGTCACGCGACATAAGGAACGTTCATAGCGGGACATCTTCCCCAGTGAGTAGTATTCCTCTCAACGATTTGCAAGCAAGGGAACTGTGCGCCTCCCTACGTGGCAGCCTTTTCCTCGCCCCCCCTTTTTTTTTTGCCATTGCTACTCACTGGCCGTCGCGATCAGAATATCGGTCGCTTTATCCGCGCGTTCATTCGCCGGAATTCTGCTCAACAAACAATATCGTATAATCTCGCGCGTTATCCGTACACGTATCGCGCGGCGTAAGAACCGTTCGTTCTTCTCCTAGTCAGGAGACGCGGTAGCGTCTCCGGCCATGTTCAAAAACTACGAGACGCTACAAGTCTCTTATCCCGAGCCACCAAAGTCCATTTTTGGGAGGTGCATAATTACTAAAATATAAAAAATTTTGTATCGAACGTGATATGTCTTGAAAGGCGGCAACGCCACGAGTAATTTGAGCCAAAAAAATTTTAAATCGGTCAAGCCGTTATGGAGATATCAGCGTTCGAAAAGTGGTGATTTTAATGAAAAATTAAGAAACGTCTCCTTCTTCTCCTTCTCCTTCTTCTTCTCTGTCCGCATTTTTAAACTTTTCGACATTCTCTCTTATCCTTCACTCGCACCTCCACCATCTTCGGCCCACCGGACCTCCTCCACCAGTCCCTCCCTCTCCTCCACCAACCACCCCCACCGCCCCTCTCTTTCGCCATAATTCACTCTTTTAAATTGATAAATATTTTTATTAGTTAATATTCACCATTACGCCAAAACAATGAATATATTAAAACTCATTTTACAAAAAAAATGCAGTATAAATACAATTTTATATAAAGTTTAAAATCACTTAATTAAATTAATATAGTGTTACATATTATTTTTATTAATACTCGTTTCTATTGTAAATATATTTGCAGAAAAATACAAGTTTGAAATAAATTTCGTCTTCGTACTTAAATTCATTGTTTAATTGACGTAAGGACGACGATATGGAATACAAAAAATGTAATGTTACTTTACTTGATGTTCCGAACAGACGTAAAACTTTGTGCATCGACCAAGTATTAGTAGGAATTTCTTCATTGCTTATAGCCTTTTTAATTTTTGTATCGTTAGTATAAGGTGGCCAGTTGCAGCTTTTTTTATTTGGTGCAAGCCAAATTGAAGGCACCAGTTGAAGACCGTCCTCAAAAAGTACGATAGTAAATCGTGTCATCTTATCTTATATCTACAGATTACATTTATAGAGTATATTTACAGGGTATATTTATAGTTAGATATAATATACAACAAAACTTACTGAATTAAAAAAAAGACCAAAGTTCACTGCAGCAATTTACAAAATTATTAACATTTACTAATTCATACTAGATATATTAATTATTAGTTTCTATACGTAATATTGAGTAAGTATAAATTAATCCATTCCTTTTATTTTTAGCACAATGAACACAGTCATGAAATTTAGATTTCAGTTCATTATTTGCACACAAACACACATGCGTGCGCGCACGTAATCTGAATAAAGTTACAGAAATTTTGATATTGTATAAAAGATTGAGATCGAATAATGGGTTAAATTAAACATGCAAAATGTACATTAATGCACCAAAAGTATATTTTACGTGTTTAATTGAATTAAGCGACCTCAATCTTATATACAATTTCAAAATTTCTGTTAATTTATTCAAATTGCTCTATGTATGTATTATTGGAAAAACGATATGATTTTTATTTAAAGACATAATCCACATTTTCGCCTGAAGTTTGTCACATGGCCATATTTGAAGTTGATCTTCTATCTTTACAATTTGAATATTAAACGTACTAGAAGCACAAGGTGATGAATATAGGTTATCTAGATATCTTAATTTTTTTCCAATTATAAATTTATTGTTATCATTTGATTGTACTAGATTAAAAATTAAAACCACATCTCCATTGTTAAGAAGTACACAATTATTCCTTTCATTATCACAGTAGATTGAATATAAATCATTTTCGAGTATTTTAAATTGAGCAGTAAAATTATATCCATCAATTAGAGGTCCAGAATTATGTGGTTTTCGAAAATTTATATTACTTTGAATTTGACAACTTTGAACAGATAAAGGTAGAGTTTCTATTTCGGCATATCTCCTAGCTAGTTGTTGAAGAGGTTTGTCAGGTTTACGGAGTAGTTTTTTAACGTTCGTCATGTGATTTTCAAATTTAAACGCACTAAATGTATCTACAGGTCCATATTTTCTTACATCTGTACAAATATGTAACAAATTGTGTATATTATGTGATACGTACTGTTCACCGTATATCTGAGTGAAAGAAGCTACAAAATATTCTAATAAGCTTTGGGCATAATTAACATTAAGCTCATGTTTTGAGAGAATGGGACTAGCAATTATTGTCATAGCAACATGTAAGCTTAAAAAGTTTATATAAACGTCTCTTTTTAAAATTCTCATTAATATAACTGGGCCTGTATAAAGGAGAAACTGCCTAAATTCTGTTGCTTTCCAAAGTCTAACATGTTTCAGTGATCTTGGTCTTCGAGTATAATCATATGGGACTGAGTTTCTTATTTGCATTAATTGTTCTGATATATTATTTATCATATTATTAGATAATCTTACAGAAAGAGGTCCTGTTAACCAGAGTAAAATTAATTTTTTTACAACACCTAAACATACTAAGTGCATGTAGTCTAATGGTACATCTGTTATTGGTCCGAATTTAGGTATTTTGCTTAAAATAGTTTCTACAATCTGAAAATCTTCGTATTTATTATTTAAAAAATCTTCATCTGTTCGTAAAGGAGGATTTGTATCTTTTATAGGGAAACATACTCTTCCATTAACATATTTTCCTTCAATAGTACATTTTGTACAACTATAATAACCATTGTGATTTTTAACGCCTAAAACAAAAGATTTTGCTGGAGCATCACATACTAAAGCATGCAACTTAATTTCTATTTTTTTTCCATCACGAAACAGTGAATTATTTATTAAATAAATTGCTTCATTCACAAATTTTTCTAAAAAAATATTATTTTCTGGTTTAGTTTCACCATAAAATGCGCCAACAATGTATACTGATTTCACAACAGTACTGGAACATAAAATAAGCCATAACGAAGAAACACCAGATTTAGAAATTGGTAACCCATCAATATTTACTAATATGTCAAGAGTATTAATCGGACCACCATATTTTATGTGTTCGTTTAATATCATATTTAATGCTCTTTCCAAACCAAAGTGATGATACTCTATTTCTCTAGGATTCAATTTTGTATTTCTTGGAGTTTTTAATAAACTTCGAGCATCTTTTGGAAATGGATAATCAGTATGTTTTTGCAAAATAATTAAAAGTTTGGATAGAGCTGTCTGCGGAATATTACACTCTATTGACCAAATGCCTAAATCTTCCTTAAATTTTTTAAAATTTTCTAAATTTTGATTTTCATTTTCAATTTGATCAGCTGGTTCTGAATTGTCTGTTAACTCAAAATTGTCAATTTCATTGTCTAATTCTAAATTATCAATTTCTCTCTCTGATTTTATATCATCAATTTCACCTCTTGAATCTACATTATCAACTTCATCTATTAACTCACTTGAATTATCTTCATTATAATTGTCCACAATATTTAAATTCGAAATTACATTACCTTCACTTTGGTTTTGAGAAGACACATTTAAATTATTATCAGAATCAGATAACTGATATGAACAATCTGATTTTGATGTATATAACATGTTAATGTCTAGGTCTGTACCATTTTTTATTAATCTTCGAATATGTCGTTTCGAGTATAATAAATTTCGTTTTCGTTTACTGTTCATTATTTTAATATACTCACCACTGAAGTAACTTTATATATTATACAGATCTATAACAGAATATATTTTTTTATTAAATCTATGATATATGGATTAAGTAGGAACCAATTCTAAGCAGAATTGTAATAGGCTTTCTACAATAAGTCATAAGTCATAAATTAGAAGTAAGAAACTAAAAATTGACGACTGTGATTGACCCATTTTTAGCTTATGACTTATAATTTATGACCTATGGCTTTATAGAAGGCCCATAAGTCTCATAATTTGTAAGACTTGTAACAACTTATATGACTGTTTCTCTAATTCTATTGATATCTATACTGTAATAAATATCTATAACTTTTCATAAATCTTACATTTAGCAAAAAGCTGTCTATAAAAATATTGCATAAAGTTATTATAAGCACTTGCAAATTCTTCCAAATCTTACGAGAACATGTTACATATCTTACAATTCTGCTTAGAATTTATAACAGGCATTAATCTATCATGGCCTATAATCTTTATAAGGCTAAATCATTCATTGATATATAAATTAGGCTAATTTTGTAAAACTTCATTTCACATTATAAAAAGTAACCTAAAATCATAGCAAAAAGATAATTCTAACCTCGAAATATTAACAATTAAAAAATATTTACATTCGTTACCTATCAGCAAATTGTGTTTTTATAAGATTATAGTCTACACTGCGTGTTAATTTAGGCCTCAATTCTCGGACCCGATCATCATAAGAGAAATACGAAAAAGTAGGAAAATGCTATAGTATACTGTAGTATTTTCCTAGACTTTTGATGAGTTAATTAGAGGATCGATGCCTTAATTTACTGCTGTGTAAAGAACGATTTTGCAGTCGTATTAATTACCATTAAATAAAAATATTTTTTACGACAATATTAAACATTAATAGGTTATGATAACACAATACATCATTAAATTTAATTAAAGAGATTGAACATTATATAAAGTAATATTTATTGTACGTACCTTATTATTATTTTAGTAGTATGAAACACTACACAGACAGTACCATCGAATAGTATATTTAGTTGTACGTTAACACAATAATGACCACAAAAGGCACAATGAAACGTGTGTAAGATCGTAGACGATCCAGGCATAAATTGACTGCGCAAGATTATGCGCGCACGCGCAGTTGCGCGCATTTTATAAATTTTAAACGAGTAGGTTACAGAAACCTAACAATCCCTATGTTTCAGTCAAGTAGGTTGCAGGAACCTTTAATTTGCAATCGTTCTATAATAAAGATTACAGGACTATAACAACTGCAATGTTTCAATAATGCAGATTGCAGGAATATTCCAAATGAGATGCTATGAATATGAGACATTGAGAGATTTCTGCAACTTAACAGAAACCTTGTGTGCTATCAGGGTATGTTCACTTTGAACTGGCACATCTAGTAATATATCAATTACTTTTCGTGGTAATGTATTA